AAACAAATAAAACAAAACATTTGACTGTATAATTTAACGAATTATGGCTAATATTGGAGAATGAGAATTCCAGAACACTTATAAATTTGCTCATATGAAACCTATACCTAGATGAAGAAGCTTTTGTTCAGATGGAACAAGGAAACACTGAATGATTTATATAAGAAAAGTGTGTGTCACGATTATATCCTTTCTCCAGATCTAGTCAACATATGTTGTTGTTGCTGTTTGGTGCCATCCAGTCGTAGACGACTCATAGTGACCCAATGAACTAAAGGCCTCAGCATTATTCATAGATTTTCCAGAGGTAAGCCATTTCAGAAGTGAATGCCACTCTTGCTTCCAGGCTATTCAATATATACCCTAAGGAAATCATTTGAAAAGCTGGACTCTATGAAGAATTATGGGGGATCAGAATTGGAGGAGACTCATCAACAACCTCTGTTATGTAGACGACACAACCTTGCTTGCTGAACCACTTGGTGCAGAAGGTCAAAAACCACAGACTTCAATATGGATTGTATTTCACCATCATAAGACAAAATTCCTAACCACAAAACCAATAATCAACATTGATAGACGGAGAAAAATTAAAACTGTCATTTAATTCTTACTTGGATTACAATCAAAACCCTTGGAACTAGCAATCAGGACATCAGAAGACATATTACCTTGGACAAGCTGACTGTCAGAGATCTCTTTAAATTACTAAAGAACAATGATGTCAGTTTGAAGAATAAGATGGGCCTGATTCAAGCCATGGTATTTTAAATCACTTACTATGTATCTGAAAAATGGATAATCTGTTACAATGACAGAAGAGCAATTAATGTTTTTAAGCTGTGAGGTTGGAGAAGAGTGTTGGAAGTATGGACTGCCAAAAGATGGAACACATATGTGTTGGGAAAAGTGTGGATATAGTGATCCTTCAAAGGGAGGAAACAAGATTTCATCTCACGTACTTTGGGCATGTTGCTAGGAAAGGCTATTTCAATTAGAGAGACATCATACTAAAAAAGTTAGAGGATCACCAAAGGAGAGAAGGACTCTCAACGAGGTTGATTTGTGTGACTGTGGCAATGGGCTGAAGTGCATCACAGATTATGTTGATGGTATAGGATAGGCCAGGGTTCAGAACTATTATTCATAGGGTTGCTATAAATGACATTGAACTTGCAGGCACCTAAGAACAGCACCGTAATAATTCAACAGCCTAACTATGCGTGTCTATGGATCCACAGAGTGGAAGTAGTTGTACTGCTCACCCTGAGGCTCTGCATCCTTGGCCATTCAAATCCATCCGAGTCCCTTCAGAAGATAGATGGAGTGATCTCTTTCTATGCAATTTACAGCATTGAAAACTCCCTGGAGGATCAGCTAGGAGTTGGTTTCAACTCCACAGCAAACACTTTGACTTTGACTCTAATAATATGCTTAAGCATGACAGCAGTTGTTGTAAGGATAGCATAGGACCTGGTGTTGTTTCATTTTATTGTGCATTGCAAAACAAACTCAACTATACCTAAAACAACGGCAATACCCCAATTCTTTGTGTTTAAGCTTCATTTGCCTGGGATAGAGGAGTGGGTAAGAAGTTGGGCTGTCAACCCAGATACTCTGGTTTGAACCCACCTGCTGCTCCAATAGAGAAAGAAGGGAAAACTCCTCCT